ACTTGAATATCTGAAATGGTTAATCTTTAATTTAGCAGAAAGTTACATTCTTGTACTCTTTATTGTTGTGCTGCATTTCATACTGTCACATCTTGGGCCCATCTCACACTGTTGGCCCTTCTGGTCATGTCTACACTGCAAGTAGTGCAGAGTGATTGTGTCCATGTTATGTGACTATTCAGTGCCATCAAGGGCAGACTGGCCTTGTCCACATCTGGCCCTAGTTTTCATTGGGTCCCGTTGCCCTCAGGGGTAACTGTTATTTTCATTGTGGCTTTTTTCAAGTAGAATTAGCTGTTAAAATGTGAGGACTGTGCTGTAGCTCTGGATTCAAAACAAATAGAAATGCCATTCATAGAGGAGGCATTAGACTGGTGGCACTTGTTGCCAAAGGATGTAGTGGTAGCTTTACAACATGGGTGCATGGAAGAGAAGTCCACAGATGTATAGAAAACCACACATAGTTCAAGTTGAATCTGGGGGAGAATTCAGAGGATATACCATGCACAGCCTCCTGTGTTCTTGTCTCAGGCACTGGCTTATCACTGAGGATGGGATACCAGGGAAGGTGGACCACTGGTTTGACCCAGTATGGGCATTTGTGTGTTTACTCTAACACCTTCTCTAGGAAGAAAACCTGGAAGTTTCCTCAAGATAGTCTCCACCTTCCAAGGTCTTATAAAACCTGTCCTTCAGCAATTTACTTACTCCCTTCTGGCCCTGATCCTTATTTCAACAACTGTGCCTACCTGCTGTTAATTTCTTTGATGCAATCTCTGCCTCGGTTTTTATCCTCTGCTGTGCCAAAATACTGACTCAGCATGATTGAAATATCCTTGCAAAAGCCATTGAGTTCTGGTAACAAAGTTCTCCAGCACTGACTGCTTTTGGGCGCATGCCCTGCTGGAATCCCCCACCTCCTCAGCACTTACACCACTGTAATCACAGACATATAATATTTATAATTAAGAAAGGGAGTCCCCACTTACACCATATTCCTAAGAGAATACCCTGTAAGTGAATGATGTACCTACTCCAACCCCCTCAGGCTGCTACTAGACTATCCCCGGGTTACAAGCATGACATGGAGCTGTGTCAATAGATACTCATCAAAACCTCTGTGTTACTATTCCCATCTACCATGTTTGTAAAACACTTAACTGGAATTGGGCTGGTGACTTGCTGTGCAACACTGATCAGTTGCTTACAGTGGCAGCTGTAAGAGGTAATGGTCTTATATACTTTCCCTTTGTTTTATTCACCATTTGTTTTCTAGTCCCACATCCTGTGCAGGCTTTTTACATTGCAAGATATGCTAGGGCTTCAGAGTACTTTCTGACACAAAGAATATGGAAAAGTTGCTCAAAATCATGATCTGGATGATTGATCTAGCTGGATCTTACATGTAGCAGCAGAGGACAGTTTTAAAACAGCAAAATCTCTTAGCAAATTTTACATACAGGAGCTTTTAATGACAGTACAGCCCAAAGCCAGAAGACTTCAATACCCTGTAAGTGCCAATGCCTGGAATTTCGAAGGTCTAAAGGCAACAGAGAAAAAGTTTTACCTAGCCAGGCTTAAGGCTGTACTAAATCAAAACTTTCTTCAGTGTTCTTCTGCTCTGGTTTCCCCTAGTGATGAGCCTACACTTGAGGATTCAGGGGTGGTTTGGTCTCCAGTAAGACAGATGCACAGAGCTCAGTACCAATCTACAAGTACTTAATTGTCAAAGTTTTCCCAGCCGACAGGACCTATTTGCTAACCAAGTAGCAGAAAACCCATGCTATGGGCTGCAGGTGAGTGTTCAAGCATCAAATTCATGCTCTGTGTGCTCAGCCCAGGAGTATGTCACCCAGACAAGCAACAGCCATGTGTGTGTGCGAAAGGCAAACGGAGGCATGGCTCTAAAGATAGTCCTGGACTCTGCAGTCAACCATGGCTGACTGAAATCCATAACTGCATCTCTACAGTAATCCCAAGAGTGCAATAGTAAAATACTTCCATTGATTTTTATGTTTAACATATTAATTTGAAGACTGACACTTGATCTGATTTGAAATGACTGTATTCAATGACAATTTGATTCACATGGCTGGAAAATCTGCTGAAGCCCTAAAAACTGAACACAGGCAGGGCTGAACTTTCCAAAGATGCAAAACAACCAGTGACAAAGACATGGCCACAGATGGCAAAACCTGATTTTAATTGCTCTTGCCCCTGTGGAGGTCTCCACCCCCAAATTAAGGTGACCAGCCCCTCCCAGGTACAAATATATGCTGAGTAGATAATATAGAGGCTTTTGTGTGCTATGTGTAGCCATCAGGGTTGCAAAAAGCAGGATAGGGGCAGTCATGTGCTGCACATAAGGCTTGACCTCAGGAGCTGAACCCTGCACCCACTGGCTGTACCAGACAGCTCAGCTTTCAGCAGTTGTCTCCTGTGCCTCAGGGAGAGCTGAAACAGCCACAGTCACTACAGTAATTTTCTAAGGGCTGCAGCAAGGAGATCAGAGCTCACCTAAGAAGATGCTAACACATCTTCCTTTGGTGCAGGATTGTAGGTTTTTTCAGCAGATGCCTAAGTACCTGTTGCTACTGTGACTCTTCATTCTGGTCTCTTTTCTGGAGCCAAGGGTTTCAGCTGGTTCAGCTCCTTGTCTTTCAGTGTCTGCTCAAATTAGATACTCTACTACAGTGCTCACCAAAGATCAAGGTAATAGAGGAACCTGGTCTGGGTCTTGTTGGCAATGGTTGAATGTAAAGGTGGAAACTGGTAGTAAAACCGATGTGGTATAGGTGGTTAGTGATCTGACTGCAGTGGTTTTGTTTGGCCAGTGGCAGGAGACTCAATGACTATGGATGTCAGAGACAGGCAGCAGCTGAGGAGTATTTCTGTAAACATGTGTGTGTGTTTCTCTTTGAGCTTGTAGCTTTTATTTTAACATGCACTTTTGCAATAAACGCACAGAGGTTTAATTTTTTGTAAAGCAACTGACACGCCACCAAGTGGATTATACCAGCTTTATGCGGTGGAAGGACTTGGGAGTAATTCAATCTTGTGGGCTAATAATATTTAGAATTTACATTCGTGAAGTATCTGGAGCGCACAGACAAAATCAGGTCCCTATTGTATTAGGCTCTGCTTATACAAGAGATGGTCTTTGCTCAAATACTTTGTAATCAAAATAAAATGAGATATCCTCTGCAATTGTATGTGTTACTATAAGATAAAAGTGCATCAAGTGGTAATGAAATTGCTCACAGCTCACAAACCTGTCAGGGCAGATATATAGCATTGCCTCATCTAATACAGGTTTCCATCTGTGGGTAACCTCTTATTAGTAAAATACATTATGCAATATCCCTTAACAATTCATAATAGATTGTATCTGAAGAAAGGAAGATGAAGTAATGAAGACAGCTTACAGGTGTCAAAGTGAGATAAAGGTGTAGCAAGTCCTCTTGTAGAGCAGCTGCCCAGATGCTCTTTTCCTCTTTACAGAAAAGTCCTCTGAGCCCATAGTGTATTGTCTGCAATGAAAGACTCAGCTGAGCTGTTACTTGAGATCACATTGTCTGGTGTTCTGTACCAGTGAGCTGACGTATATATTGCAGATGGAAAACGTTGCTGCTACGTCTGACAACGCTTTTCACTCTGGTAGAAGAAAAAAAGATTCTGCCTCTGACTCTAAACCCAAGTAAGACAAAGTAAAGTGTGGGGTTTTTTTTTAAACCTGTTTCTCATTTCAGAGAAATAACTATTGAATTACTGATCATATAGTCTTGGGCATGTGTGAGCATGACTTACTTTAAAAGATAAATGGAGTGTGAGTGGTAAACAGCTTTTCTTGTGAGCTTCTTGTTTAGTTAATGGGAGTTTCACAGATGACTTCAATGGAACCAAGCAAACCAATAATGAGTGGTCATTTGAAAAAGTCCTGCTGAATTTTATAATATGAGAAAAGATGTTTAATGCATTTCACTAGTAAGTTTTAATCTATGCTGTACTGCTGTATTATGAATCTGTTGTGTTTTGGAGGCTCTCTAATAACTACATTTTGAAGATGGCATTTCTGTGGTAACATAGGACATGGTTAGTCCTTGTTAGCTCTGCAAAAATTACCAAATGACCAACTTTAAGCTTTAGACAAATTACAGTGGGCACCAAGTGAACAAAAGAGCTGAAATACCTTGCCAACAGTCATACTCAGATGCACTGCCTTGTTTAGCTTTCTCTATGTTAACAGTTCTTGGTTGGCAGTGCGTATCTACCTCCCACTCACACGCTGCGGCACCTGTCCCTACCCCAAGAAACCTGCAAGCCTGCGTCCCTCTTAAACGGCAGAGGACTGCAGGAGGGAGCCTCAAAACTGGGCACTACCATTCCCAAAGGGCTTTGAAGCTCTCATTCCTCCTCTGTAAAATGGGTTGTGACACTCCTGGGTTGGTCTGCTCTGGGGATTAGTGTATGTGTTACTCTCAATAACTCATTGTTGCTCTTGGGAAGGTTATCTAAGGTATGGAGTGCCTCAGGTGCAGAGACAAATGAGGTAGCTCTGTGTGACAGCATGGCACTGCTTGGGCTGGTTTACATGGGTGTAGCACCATGTGAACACAGCTGCATTGCTCCTGAGCTGTCCAACTCTCACACATGCCTGGCCCTGAAAAGACCTGGTGAGACAGCTTCCTGAACATCCATAATGTTTTATTTTCTTTGGGGTTTTTTTTCCCTGTTTCTTTGGGGTTTTTTGGAGTTTGTTTTTCTTTTCCAAGCTATCTACTATTCCTGATAACAGAGACCATGCTATAAGACCTAGAGGCTAGGTATCCAGACATCTCTGACAGTTTATCTGCTGTTCTTGTCACAGACAACTGTTTCTATAGCAGGAAACAACATAACCTCCAGAAGCAAGTGAAAATGGATATGAGCACCGTATGCTGCAGATGGGGAATGACAGGGTACTGACCATCAGAAAAGATGGTCAAGAAAAAGAGGAAAGAGGAAAACCAAGCTTGTCTTCCCCAGAGACTTACTATGTGGTCCTTAGTCTGGGACTGTCTGTGCAAGATGAGAAAACCCTCAGCTGGGTTAGGCTTCAGGCTGTATTTCCTTGTCCTTAGAGTCAGAGAGTTTGGAAATTTAAAGTCTGGAGCTGGAGCGCTTGCATTTTGTGAGAGGCAGCAGATGGTTGCCCTGTGCCCAGGAAAGCAGCAGCATTGCTCTGTCACAGCTGAGCATAGCAAATTCTTTCCTTTGGATCATACTGTCACTGCTGTGTTGTGCAGCAAACACAGCTCCTGGCTGCCCCCATCCCTTCCCAATGTAACAAGCGTGGCAAAGGCTTGAAATATGTTGAACAGCAAGTAGCAATTTCACTTAATCTGATATCTGCTGTAATACGTTGCATCATACTATAGTGCTTTGCTCCAGCCTCAGATTTTCCTATGGCCTCTACAGCTTTTCCAGTCTCTGGTCCTTCCTGAGTGTTTACATGAAACCACTTGTGATTTCTCAAAAAATGTTTTTCTGCAAAAGAACAGGATCCAACAAACTAAAAAAAAAGTTCTGCACTCTAAAAATAAAATGAAATTTTAAAAGGGCTATAAAAAACTGAGTCATTGACTGGATCCGGATGATCTACATGAAAGAGAACAATATTCAATTTGTTTAAACCCCCAAGTTCTCCTCAAAAGGAGCTATAGAAATGCATTCAGAGGCATAATGTAAATTAAAAAGCCTCCAACACAGTTCATACTTGAATGAAAATAATTCACACAGGATGCAGCAAATATGGTATAACTACAGCACCATTATTTTTTATACCACCAAAGCCTGTCTTTCCTTTGAAGGTTGGTAATTGTAAGGAATACAGTACTTTTGACTTCCTACATAGAATTGTTCTCCCCAGCCTCTCTATGTTGCACAGTGTGTTAGCTACAAATGATTAAAGTTGGCCTCCTGGCCATTTGGTTGTTTTTCAGAGACTGTCAGTGTCTCCCATGGGCTGAAGTTTCACAGAAGAATATTCTGTGTATGAAGATAAAAGCATGCTATTTGTCTTCAAAGAGAAAATCAATAGAGAAGACTTGACAGATCTCTTGATTATTTGGGTTTCTCTGGAAGAAAAAAACGTATTGCTTTTATTGCAATAAATTTTATAAAGAAGGTAAACTCAAAGCAAAATATGAATTAGTATTATCTCTGCTGGATTCTGCCAGGAGCACATTGTCATTCTACCTATGGTGTTCATACCTTCTGAAAACTTGTGAATCTTGAGCTGCTGATTCAAACTAAGATGAGGTTGTCTACAACGATCTGAACATGTTCCAGGGAGCCTGGACAGTCCAGCTTTATCTTCCAGGGCACTTGTCCTTCCAGAAGCAGAGCCCCCATTTTCTAGGAGCTCCATGAAGAAAAAGATGCAAGCACCATAATTTGCTTTTTCTGATGCGCCAGCACAGAAACTAAGAGGACTACATTATGTCTACCTGCTAGTGCAAGGTGAACACTATTTCCAGGCTTCAAATTCACTTTTATAGCATTGCTCTAGCAGAAGGAGGAAGCACTCATTGTGGAAGATGCATCCTTCTTCTTGCTGCATGTGAAGCATTACTGTGGGTGTCACTTAACAGCCTTACGATCTGGTATTATGGTCTCTTCATTGTAAGAGCAGCACGACATGGAGGATTGCTGTCAGCATCAATTTTTGAGTATAATGGTAACAAAATGTTCCCACTCATTTTGAGGACTTGCGCCTGCATGTGACCATAAGGAGATGGTCCAGAATTTGCATGAAACATAGTAATTATAGCACAGAGCCAAAGAACCAGAACTACCCAAATGTAATATAAAATCTGAAGAACTGGAAGAAAAATTTGTCTTTGTCTGCACTATTATTTGATCTGGCAGAAATTTGATTGTATTCTAACAGTATTTTTCATCCCATAGAAGGCTGGTTGTGATTAGCCTCTCAAGTACTTTGTTGAGTCTCTGTTATGTGTTTTATAAATTTGAACCTATAAGAGCTAAAGATACCTACAGTCATTTTTATCCAGTCTTTAATATAACTCCCTTCACTATTTTATGAAGCTCTTAAAAATGACCAAGTTTGGGCCCATTGTATCTACTGAAAGGCCTTTCCAGGGCTTTAAATCTCCAATAATGAGAAACTCTGTTCTCATTTCTAGCCTGTTTTTTCTCTCTGTGATTACATGCTCTGTTTCCAAATCATAGATAGCAATTTCACAGTTTAGCATATCCATCCCCCTGAGCCATTTTGGCTATGTCCTCCTTCTCATCATGTTCTGCATCATCTTCACTGGTAACAGCTGAAGCAAAGGTTTGCTAACATCATTGGATTATTTCTGAGTTTATGTCTGGTTGTTCAAGTCCTTCAAAACTGTCACACTGTAATAGTATGGTTTTTTTCTTACATGGTTGCTATAAATTCTACTCTTCCCTGAGACATCTTTTGATGTGGAATGTCTCTGACTTCTGTGGTTCCTATTTCTTTGTTAAAACACTTTGTTGAAAGTATTTCTTTAATGGCTGGAGGTGTGGAGTGTGTGGAACTGCGGTGTTTAAATGGTGAAAAAGATAGATAGGTTTGGATTTGGCAACACCTGAGTGAGTCTTGGCAGGGGACACACTTCAATTATGTCTCAGCCTGACTGGTATCCAGAAATAAATTGTTGGGTTTTTTTCCTAAATTTCCCTAAGGGCTTATCAATTTATCTGTTTTGAGAATGTCTCATACACGCTGACAAGTCCTCATACTTGTTGGCTGTTAGGTTCCCCTACAGGGCATCCAAAGGAGTCACCAGTCTTTCCCTTGTAGGTAGCATTTACATTAAATGCAATTTATGAATAAAATACATAACCAGTACTGAGAGACAAGAATAGATGACTTCTCATTGCTAACAATAAATTATTTAGTTGCTTCCTTTTTGCATTCTTCAAGAGATGTGGAAAATCTTCCTCCTTGAATTGCTATCTTGCCTCAAAAGTTCCTGGTGTGCTGAGTATTCAAATTGGTATAGGTTTGGATCCCTCCTTGGGCAGAGGAAGAGGTTAAATTTTGTGACTCACTTCCTGGGTGAATGATCCAACCTTTCAAATACACTGGTGATACCATTACTACCTAGTAATCCTGCTTAAGAGAAGATTAAACCCTTCTTGCTTTGAATTCTATGAACCATTCTACAGCTCTCTGGATACCTGTTTTCAGAAAGTATTTTCAGGGCTCAGGATACTGAGTATAGGGGCTTCCTTTCTTTACACTTACCACATCTTTCCTTATACCTGCTGACATTCCAGCAAGGCAAGAGATTTCCCCTTGCACATTCCTGTTTGGTGTTTTGGCTTGGTGGTTTAACATGGGCTCTCTGCCTTGAACACTGATTCCCGAGACCCTGTGAAACACCTGACTGTCCTTATTCTTTAAATAGCAGCTTTGGGAACAAATCAGTTTGGAGTTCACTCTGGGGTGGGTTCCTACATTTAAGACCCTTATTGGATTTTGCTTTCCTCTTGCTGTTTCTTAGGAAATTAAGAAATACAATTTCAGAAATGAGAAAATAGTGAGAACCCACTGCATATGGTATTATTAAAAACCTCAGGCTACATCTCTGCTATCTGTAAAAAAGGAAGTCAGTGACCACCTTCAAAATACAGAACTTGGTGGGGAGCTTTGCAGGCAGACAGATAAAAAGAGTTTCAGTATGGGTTCCTTTCTGGGAGCCTTTCCATGTGTTCTTCAACCACTGTCTTGGTGATTAGTGTGTGTGATTTAGGGCTGAGATGGTGGCTGGTAAAAGCTGCATTTAATCTACTTCCCTTTCAAAAATCCTGTTGATGTGAGAATATTTGTCATAGATTTCTCTCTCTGAGAATAACATAGAGAAAAATAGCCCCTCTAAGGCTATTTCAAACCAAGGCACACTCATGCAATTAGAATACCTACCAAGAGGAGGCTGTACTTTATTTTACTTGGAGGATACAGAGCAGAGCTGGCTTGAACTTTCTGAGCAGATACTAGAGCTGTTTCAACAGCTTAGGAGGATATCCCATACCATATGACATAGTGCTCAGCAAAAAATGTTCAGGAAAAGGAGGAGAAAGGGGAGAGTGTGGAATTTGTCTTCCCAAGTAGCTGTTAGGTGTGATGGAGCCCTGCTTTCCTGAGGATGGCTGCACAACTGCCTGCAGATGTGAAATAGTGAGTGAATTCCTTATTTTGCTTTGCTTGCATGCACAGCTTTGATTTCTCTGTTGAACTATCTTTATCTTGGCTCAAATGTTTTCTTTTACCCTTCTGATTCCCCCCAGCACCACTGGGGGGTGCTCTGCATGTGGCTGCATGGTGCTGAGCTACTGGCATGGGCTATCCAACAGCAAGGTTTCACAAACACAAAACCTCAGACTGAACAGAGGAAAAGAAAAAAAACCACACAAAACGTAGAAACAAACATATGTAGGAAAACGACACCGAGCACGTCTTGGCTGCTTGGCTTTCTGCTTTTGAAATACTGAAACGCAGAGTGGTTGAGAAACACGTCTGTCTGTTACTTCCCCTGAGATCCAATGCTGCCCTTGTTCTGTATATGGTAATGTGACCAGAGGCACCACCTCAGTACTAGGGCCAGACCAGCAAGTGTTCCCCTCACCTGCCAAAAGGTGTCTCTCCTCTCTGAATATAAATGTGTCTTCAGTCTCTGGTTTCTGCTGTCCCGCTTGGGATGGATGAACTTCTGGATGAACAGCAGGATGAACGTGTATGAGGTTTCCCTTGGCTGTGCTAATAAGATATTTCCTGTAGAGGAAAATGCCTGGCAATGTCATATGCCTCATAGATAAAACTACTGAGCTAGTTAAACCAGCTAAAACTATTTAGCTAGAGACACTAATTTTGATGAATGGAAATCAGACAAGATTATAAGCACTCCTTGAGATTAGATGCAATATCATGAGCTACCCTAATGAAAGAGGTCTCATTTGGAAACAAATACAAATGCACAGATGAAAGTGAGTCCAAGCAGTGTGTGTGCTCATCTGTGGTTGGTTACAGAGCCAAGGCTGCTCCAGGTTTATGAAGTTATGTATCACACTTATACTCCTTTGGAGCAGCCTGTCAAGTTTAGCCTTCTAACATTACCCTATATTGTAATGTATTCATCTGGGAGATAGCCATTTAATTTACATTTTTAGATACCAAAATAGCATGTGGATTTCACCCACTGCAAGGTTTTGTCTCTGTAGGTGTACTCATTGCACCCCAGAAGGTTCATATTGAATCTGCTACTCTGCCATTTTTGTCCTTTTTCTATTATTGAAAAGACTTGGAGGAGATGAGATGGGACTGAACTGTGCTCTGAAGCTCTTACAACTTGGACAAATAACAAGGAAATGGCATAGCTGAGAAAAAAAGGAGTGAACAGTGGAGCTCTGCTTAAGCCAGCGTGACCAAAGTCTCAGTCATCTTCTCTCTTTGAAACTGTGTGACTGATAAGTGTCTGGCTCTCTACTTCCTCCTGCACTGCTGGCAGCAACTTTAAAATGTCAAAAAGCTGCAGCAGATTTAGTGTTTCCATTTAGCCTATCCATTTTGTGCTTTTTAAACTTCCAACTCTGATTATGAAGAGATTTTCATTCCCTGGGTGGGCTTCCACCATGTGGGAAGACTCAAACATCCTTGGTTTCTTTAATGTACAAAGGGCCTGGACACAACCTCAGCCTCTGAGAAAGAGAGGACTTCAGAAAGGAAGGAACACCTCCTTGTCTGCGGTGTTCATGGACCTGGAGCCAGGCTCTCCGGCACTGTCCTGGCCTCCCCAGTCAGTAGTAGTGTGACAGATTTCTGCCAAGCAGCTTTTGTGGTTTAGAGAATGAATCAAAGGATTTCCCCTGCAGTTCCTGGTGTTTGTTATAAGAAGTTAAAATGTGTCTTGGCAGCCAAAAAGCTTCTGTTTCCTTCAGCTCTGCTCCAGCTCAATGAAAACCACCCAAGACAGGAACTGAGTCCCTGCATGTATTGCACTAGGCAGATAAAAGCTGAGAGAGGTTTGGGGAACTTTCTAAATACTAAGCACAGAGTAGTAGGGGCAGAAATAGAAAACAAGAAGAAATACTTTGGTTTGCCTGAAATCCTAGTGACATGGGTTGCAAGCCTGAGGATTAAATCCAAAAGCCCAGTCCTGGATCTGAACTGCTAAGAGTTTTCCATCCCTAACTGAAGCTACTTGTCCATGTTGGTATTTCTACTGTGCTTGTTGCTATGAGATTTCTATTTTGAATAGATAAAATTCAAACTACCTACGTCAGGTGCTTAGTTCAACTAAATTTCAGCTGTGTACCCTGGCTTTTGATGTTTCTTTACAATTAGGAGCACCAGAAAGGGCACTAGATTGTGGAGTAACAAGATTACCTTGGTGAGACTGTTAGGATGAGGTCCTTCCCAGCTAAATCCATGTGGAGTCTCATGTGCTCTCTTGCAGAAGAGACAAAAACAAGTAGTAATCAAATCAGACTGAAAGAAATCTAGCCATCTGCCCTGTGTCATGGTGACTAGAAGTTAGAAGATAAGCCAATTTAGAAACCTAGTCTCAGTGAGGTTGCTTGTTTTGGTCTTTATATATATTTCCCAGGAACTCTTATGGCCTCACTATAGCAGACAGCTGATAAATGCTAACAAAGTTAAAAGGAACAGATCTGCCTTCTTACTAATGAAAAACGTAACAGTAAAAAGCTAGGGAAAACAAGCCACAACTAGTCCATCCACTTAATGGATTTTAATTATTGCCATTTACTGGAATATTTGGCTTTGGATCAGTCAGGAGCCATAAAGACGCATGTTTTGTCTCTGTCAGGCACTTAAAACTAAATTTTAAGGGAGCCAGTGGTAACGTTACCTGATCACTGCACAAACTACAGATGATAGGGTGGGATGGTTTTGCTTTTACAGGATGGGCTTCAAAACAATCATAGCTATTAAGATGACACCTAGGATAAGAGATTCTTCATTGCTGAATGCCACACGAACATCAGAAAATCAAGTGTTAGAGAGTGTTTCAGGCATTCAAAACAAAAACTACAGTTCCAATTTTCTATCCTGACTGCATCTTCCATCAAATGCAGGGCTGAGCCCCCTTTCATGAGAGAAGGTGGAGCTTCTCTTCCAAATGCTGCTGCCCTTGCAGGAGTGTCCAGTGCTCAATGCAATCACTGAGGATCTCAACTGCTGGCCAGGTTGCTCTGCAGACTCAAGCCCTGTCATAAGAATGGATCTCTTTGTCCTTCCCCTTCCTCTCCCCTGGTATTGAGAAGGAAGATGGCAATGTGGCAATGGCTTCTAAATGACTTGCTTGCTTGGTTGGCCAGGATGCATGCTGAATCTGAGAAGCACTAAAATGTCAAGATTTTGCTGAGATTTCCTTGAAGGTTAGCCAGGAAAGGGAAACTTGTATTATCCTCAACAGACTTGAGGAAATAGCAAGGCAAAGGCAGCAGGGTAAAACAGCTATCGCTATAATAATGTACCACTTCCAGGAGAATGGAAAAAAATTGAGCATATACTATTCAGACCTAAGGCCAGCTCCAACATGTCGCACTGCCATTCTGCACTAGAGGAAGGCTGTGGGTTGGATCCTCTGTGTTACCTAATCAGCTTATTTTTATTAATGCTATTGATACAATCTTGGAAAACAGGAGTATTTTTTATTCCGCAAGCATACTCTGCATTTTGAAGAATAAAAGGTTTTGAGAAGCATGCTGAGATGCAGCTTGTGTTGATTATGCAAAGGTTTCTGTTACAGATATTGGTGTACGTAGGTTAGAACTGGTCCCTCCTGAGGGACCTGTTTAAGAGAAACTTATTAGCTGGCACAATAGAGCTAAGAGTCTCTTTGCCGCACAAATCAGTTGTGTTTACTAATTGGGTAAAAGGTGATAGTCTTGCCGCACCCCTCTGTGTTGGACTGGAATGTGTTTACAGAGACCCAGGACTGTTTTGACAAGGGCTGCCAGGCTGGGCAGTTCTGACACCTGTGTTTTTGACAAACAAGAAGTACAGTTGTCCCCAAAGATTATGATGACATATTTGTGATGAGAAATTAAGAGAAATTAAGGATGTTGCAAATACAGAAAGGACACAAATGGAAGTAAATTTATGTTTTACTAGCAGTATAAGGTACATCAAAGGTATTGTGGGCTACCCATCAATTGATGAATACAGTAGATGGTTTAGAGGGTTTTTTAAGTTCATTCTCACATTCATGCTTTAAAAGCCATGGGATCAGTTTGCTGACAAACCTCTGCTTCCTTAGTAGCGGAGGAGCATACAGACCAGCCGACTGCTGGTTTCAGAAGCTCAGCAGAGCAGGTGCCATTGCTGCTGGTGACATTGCTTTGGGCACTTTCTTAGCAGCTCCAATAAAGTCCCTTAGTGAGCAAGAGACTGAGAGAAAGGAGCAGAATTCAGATTTCCTATCACTACCCCTATATTTCCCTAGAAGTATCTTTACTTGTAATCCTTATAGGAAGCTTGAATGCTAGCTTCAGGCAGAGGTTAAACTTGTAGGTATAATTAATTTGGAGCCCTTTGACATATGCTTTCATTACTGCATGTTGAGAATCCTAGTAGGTCAGTGCTGGAATGTAGGCACTCCTATTTCCAACAAGATCCTGCCAAACAAAGTGGGTAGAAAGCTCCTGCCATTCCCCCAGCGCAGGTGCAAGGCTTCTCTACTAATTTCCAGCATGGTTAAATTCCCAATTCAGTAGAACAGAAAACAGCCCTTAAAGAGCTTTTATTGTTTTTCTTTGCTGTTTGGCAACGCACATAATCTTTAGTGCAACCAACTGCACTGCCTGGCATTAATTTTGCTGGCTATCCCTGAACAATTGCTGACTATCTCTTTCTGCCTGATAACTGCAGCCCTATTGTCAGGCTGCTTTTTGGCTACAGCTTAAAAATGTGAGGATCAGGGAGACAGAGTGTAGGAGGAAAAGCAAAAATAGCACCGAGCAGTAGAACAGACTGGTAGCCATGTTTTTCCACAGCTCTATGAAGTTTACTAGAACTTATATTGTGTTCTTATGGATCTGGGTAAATAATAAACATCTGTTTCCATCAATCTGTGAGCTATGAAAGATCCCTTGTATGCCAGGGAAAAGTTCACACCGCAAGTTTTGAAGTTTATCATGAGAGAAACAGAGCACACGTTTTAAGAACCGTGGGAGAGTAAACAGTCTCTAATTTACGCTGCACAAGCTGAATCCCTGTGATCTTTCTGTAGATGTAATGGGGCTTACATGACAAGGAGCAAGGGGCAGTCTAAGAAACAGTTCTCCCAGAGACAGGGTGAGAAACAGATGTACAGAAATATTCTGTTTATTTTGCATAGAGAATAATTAAGTAAACCTAGAAACACAAAACCACTTTCCAACAGTTGGAAAAAGAAGTGAAAGAAGTTCTGGTGAAAAGGTTTTGAAGAAGTATTGGTGAAAGAAGTTCTATGTTGGAGAGCTTGCAGCCAGAGGTCATTTAGGAGGAGCAGCCGGCTAAGTGTGAAATAGCTATTCAGAGCTTAAAAGACCAGAAGCCTGGAAGCTGGCACAGATAGTGAAGGGCACGGTTGAGAAACCTGAACACCAGCAGAGAAGACCCCATCTCAGCCCAGACAAGAGGTTTGCAAGAACAGACCAAAACCTCTGGTCATCTTGTGGGTCATCTCTGGACTCTGCAGCTGATTCACATACCAATTTTCTACTGTAAAATATCACATTTTTTTTTAATTCAAGCCAAACTATGTATGTGTATAGCATTATATGTCCAACAACTTCTGAGGGAACTGTGACCTTCATGGTTAGTTCATGGCACTGCAGAAGTGGGATCCGTGTTTAGTCCTCTCCTGCCCCACAGCCCACACTTACTGTGTGATGGTTTTCAAGCCATTTTAGCTTTTCCATGTACATGTATCAGTTTCCCTGTCTGTAAAACTGGGATAGCAACTCCTCCTCCTTTGAATTTAATAACTATGAAATTCTTGGAGGGCTTGAAATATGAACAGAAATAAAAATCAAGGCCAAAATTAAAATACACAAATGAGGTATTGGAGTGCTAACTTTCCTAATCCAACACAGTAAAAAATGCTTAAATCTTTTATTCTCTTTGTCACACTGAAAGAGTCCAGGTATTTTGTAGAGTTTCTTGCCGTTTTCAGTTGAGGGCCCTGCTGAACATTTTTCTTGACTCCCAGCTTGCGGTGACATGATCATTGAGAGTTTAGAAGCTCAAAGCAATTTTCTGCCCTGATGCTGGGCTATGCTGCTGTCAGCATGCTGACTTACTTTGGACACCTGGCAGATACTGTTTCTTAATGCCAACTTTTGGAAGGCAGAGCTGATGATGCATGTTTACAGCCCAGGCTGCTGCTGCTAAAGCCAGTAGCTGGATGAGTTACTGTGAAATGAGAATGGTTTCTGGCACTATGGGAGTCACTGCAGCAATTTTGTATCCTAGCAGAGAGCATTTGCTAAAGCTGCTTTTAGACATGAGGAACATCTAAAAGACTCAGATGAACAACTCTGTAACTTTGTCAAGGTAACAAGTAAAGCAGAGTGAGGCTGTCTTGCAAGTGATACAGAATTAGGACTGTTCCCTTTCCAAGTTTCTAAGCATGCAGAGACCTTACAGTATTGTAAAGAGCAGTGGCAAGCCATGTGCATTGAAAGCAGGAAGAGTGTGACTGGAAAACATAGCTGCCGTGCAGGATATTGCTCCACCAGTGAAATGGATGCAAAAGACAAGAGCTGTGTCTTCTCTCCACGAGTGAGGCTTTTCATAGCTGTGCTGCTAAGGAGCAAACCCTCTTCTTAAAACTCATCTTAGTCCAGGAAAATCTTTCTCAGCTAAACTGATTCTGGAGGTTTTAGAAAACAGAAGTCTGTACTTTTTGTTCCTTTTTTTTTTTTTTTTTTTTTTTGGTACCAGAAAGGGAAAAGATGGTGAGAAATCAAGGAGACCAGCTTAGTGCTATTGCCAGTACAAATTACCAAAAAGTCTTTCTGGTTTCTAGGTGACACTGAGCATGAAAATGACTTCCTACACTTACTGATACGTGACCCTGGGCTGAGGAAGCTTGAAACCTACATGCAAAACTAAAGCAGAAAAATTGACTTGCTACTGTGTCTTCCTTTTATGTAGAACACTGGTATTTTGAATGGACAGAGGGAGACAGCTGAACAGGTTTAAAACTTTGACTTTGCAAGACTGAATCATGTCAGAGATAAAGGCTGCAGTTGTTCAAAAATATGGTGCTTGGAGTGACTGTTTTTTAACTCCACTGTATAGATGAGCCAATATTTCTTATTTAAAGGGGGGGAAAAAAAGGATTAATCAGTTTTAAGACTTGACAGCATATGAACATCATTATACCATTCAGCATATTCCAGGCAAGAAATGCCACCCATCTGTTAGCATTATTGTTGAAGAAAGACATGCTTGTTTGAAAGACCTACAGGCATTGGATGATTTTCATAGCCCTTGTTAAACAGTCAATTGTCCTTGTTTTAAAATGTTGGAACCATGCTGCTGATCTATTTTAAGTTTCACTTGCTTCGCATTCTAATCAGTTCATGTTGGTTAAGTCTTTATTTACAGGTTAAACCTTACAAAGTCATGACTTAACTCTCATCTGAAAAACTCTGAGAGATTTTTGGTAGTCCTACATTCAGGAATTCATTCCTCTTTCTGGAAGTGCTAAAGCATAAGCTTAACTAATAATTTAATTTGAAATCAGTAGAAATTGAGCATGTTTTGGTGTGGTCACTTGCTAATAATGTAATTTGAAGTATTTCCTTGCTCAGAATATTTTCATATTGTGCATTTTCTAGATGTTGAGAATATTTTTTAGAGCTCTTGCTGGACCTATGTTAATATCCATAGGAAGAACTGTGCTGTTTGCTGCTGTTCCGAGAGCCCACCTCTCCTAACCATTACGTACTGCGAATGACTGGAACATCACAGATGTTAATACACTACTGGCATATCCAAAATGCACCTGCTTATCCTCTACCCACAGTTAGCCACTCCAAGAACACTTGCTGATTCTACTTTTGTAGAGAGCATCCTCACCTCAGCCTTGTCCAGCATCCCATGCTCCTTTAGTGGTCTTCAGCCAAGATGAGCAGAGTGCCCTGTGATGTCCAGGCAATACAGCTGCTTGCATCCAATCAATAGCTGTCCAATTTGGTTTTTCTTTTAACAATTTGATCATTTCCCTGTGCTTCACATTACAGGATATCCTGCATCATGTATTAAGCAGTCACCATGTATTCCTCACCTGGCTAACTTCACACAGTGGGTGGGCACTCTGGCTGCAGTCCTTATCATGCCAGGTACACAGCTGACACTGCATTTTTGCCTGCTGTATCTGGACTATCCCATCTGCTTGTTTCCATTGTGCAGTAGTTTTTCCAGGGCTGCTGTAAGTCAGACCACAGGTACCCTGCGCTCAGATGCCTGTTTCAGTCTCTCCAAGAAACCCATTACAGTTTTAAGGAGCAAAACCACACTTAGAAGTTACAGTTACTTTTCCAAAACTGTGTGTGCCCACACCTAGTTTCATCTATCAGTTCCATCACCATTAGATCTTATTGCGATAGTTAGGTTTCCTGTTTTCAAGCTCAAAAGAGCATTGCTTTAACCTTTTATGGTAGTATTTGGTTTCTACCTTCATGGCTTGACTTATATTGTAAATGCGATGCCGTTTTTCCAGTACTGACCGTAACAGCTCTGCCACAGTAGTCAAGAAATATACATCCTTTTGTTCTTGACCTACTGCTATGTAGTTCTATTAATTTCCCACATAATTTTCAAAATCATTGTTTTCAAAGCTACAAGTAGCCTTATGATTGTGTATAGCCTCTGTAATGTTTGCTTCTAGATATATGACCTTGCTTTTGTCTGCATTAAGTCTCCCAAATGTGGCTAACCAAAGTCTGATGAAGTGTAATAAAGACTAAGAATGGGTCAGCACTCTTACTGCTTGGCTCTTCCATGTAATTTACAGTTGCCTCTTGTTTGAAACCTTGTGGGTAAAACTACAAATTTATGTGGCAGTTATTTGCTCCTTACTAGCTTTTTGGCTTGCTCAAGGTATCACATCCGATCAGCTTCATTTCTTTAACATAATTAGAATATTTTCAGGAAAAATATGAGTAGCTTTCGGGATATTAAAGAAGAAAAAAAAAACTATGAACAAGTTACTGGTATTATATTAATGGATTTTTTTTTCTGCCTCATCAATTCCAGAACTTGACTAGTTAACATGAAAAATTCTTTTGCATACGAAAGAAAGTTCTCAGGTTACTTCCCCCCCCCAATTTCTTTTAAAATGCATCTTATACATATAAATGACTGCATAATCTAGTATCAGTTCTGATACAAGTTCAGATCAAAAGGAAGCAACATTGAAAGTGCTGCAAACTTCTATTACAAATATTCTGGCCCCAAAACTAACTACTATTTCAAAGCATAAATTTATCATGAAAATGCATCTATGATTGTATCTTGTGCCCTGATCACAAGGTGTGTTAACTAGGAATGAGTTAGAGGCCCCACACTGCAAAAGATAATTAGGAGATTATGGACAAAGAGGTCAGTTAAGAAATCTTCTGAAAATACTAAGAAAGGTTTCATATTATTTAAATGAGGCTGGCAGTAGTAAAAATTTTGAGTTTTTCACATCTCCAACTATTTTTCCTCTCTCACACTGAGCTATAACCCTCCTCTGTCACACAAATGTATAAGTATTTAGGTACATGATCTGTATGTTATTTCTGGTTTGAAAGTCTGTTAAAGTGTTTCAGAGCATGAATAGTCACAGAAAACACCAAGGTCATGCAACAGATACATTACCTGAGAGTAAAGATATTGGCAAGGGTCTTCCTTCAGAAATACACCTAACCATGTACCTAGTTTGGAGGTACAAGTTTTGAACACCATAGTTCGTTTGTTTTGCTCCATTAAGTGGAAGTGACATATAGGCTTTGA